TGCGGCTTCGGCGGCGCCTCTCTTGGTAGCTACCCGCTTGGGCTCTGCCCCTGCGAGCTGCCACTCTGCTGCAGGGAGGGCCATCGCACGTGCGCTGTACAACGTCTGCTGGGCCTTCGTGATGTTCTCTCACGTGCAACTGAAAGGAGCGGAGGGTTTGAGCCTCATGGCCACATAAGCTGCATGTTAGTGTTGGTGGGGCCTGTACTTCGTGCGCCCATTTGCTGTAGTCAATGTGACACACTCCGTACTTGTCAGCCGAGCGGTGTGCATGATCAATTGCCGTTTTTCTTGTATTGAATGTGCTCCAACACCAAGGGCATTGATTGGTAATAATCATCTGCGATAGTAAAGTCCTCAAGTTGTGCGCCCCCCTTTTGTGAGCCTGTAATGCCTGTGCTGTCGTGAAGCGTTTCCCACAGCATTGTGTTTGTCCGTCGTCGTCTTCACATGGGTAGTCGCACCAGTAGGCCTTCGCTATTTGGTCGTCTGCTCTGCCTTCATCAATGTCTCCTGCTTGGTTGTTCCAGGTCCTGGCGGCACTGCTGAGTATGCTGGGGTCCATTGTCGTCCATTGTTGCCATTCTTCCGTGCCAGGTGTAAGAATGTGTAAGTCTGACCGCCTGCGTGTGTACCATTCGTGCATATTCTCGTCGATAAGTGATAGCGCATCGAGGTCCTCCTTGTATTGTTTCGCCATGGGTGTGGAGTCTGGCCCTATCCTATCGCCTGGTAACAGGCGTCGAATGTTGGCCAGTCTGTCCATAGTGCTGTCCCCGAATATAGCTGCAACCACGTTCGCATGTTGTTGGGGGTGTAGTGCCCACTTCTGGTACCACTTGAGTCGTCGCACACGTAGTGCCGTGGCAGCTCGGTCCATTCTCCAGTATTTGAATACCTGCGCCGTGGTTTTGCAGCGAATGCTGCCATCTGCTTTGGTCCATGACATCGCTCCTCGTGCCAGTGTCCTCATGTATTTTCCTAGCAGGGCGTCGATGGCATCAGTGCTGGCTGTTGGAAGTACCATGGCCGTGAGTCCGCTTAGCCCTGCACCCAATACAAATGCGATAAACATGAGGCGTTTGACGTCGTAATTGCACCGTGAACCCCAAAAAGTGCCACCCTGTCTCCATGCTAGGCGTATCGCGTCGCAGCGGCGACGCACTTCTCCTGATAAGCCTTGGTCGGATGGGAGGTATGGTCCTAGCACTCGCATTTCTCGGAGTGGTGTGCCTTGGATTTGCTTGCTACGTCTTAGGGCTCTTGTGGTACCGTAGCTCCCTGTGCCTCGTAGTCCCAGTAGGTGGTTGGTCTTCCCCGCATTAAGTTTCCAGTTCCCAGCCTCCAGCTTGCTTTCTAGTTTCTCTGTGGCTGTGTTGACCTGGTAGGTGACTTCACCTGCATTAGCCTGGTGTGGGATTATATGCGTCTTAGTGATGTCGTCCATGAACGTGTTAATTCCGAGGTCCTGTATACTACCAAATATCGGGTGGGGTGTGTCGTGCAGTCGTTGTGTCGGTTCCGTGCGCAGGTCTTCGTTCCACTGGGCAACGTATATGTTGTAAGCATCGTTGAACTGTCGTGGTGCTGTCGTGAAGCCCATCTGGGCGCCTGTGGTGCTTTCGTAACTAATAGTCTGATCCGCAGCCTCTATGGTCATGGCAGTTTTCTCGATTGCTCCTACTGCATGTGGTTGGTCCCATTCATCAGCCTGTTTAAAGGCCACAGCTTGGAGGAGGGTGCGGTTGGTGGACGCAAATGCGTTCGAGCAGTCGTAGTTGGTGTGCACGCTGCTATATCCGAGCTGGTCGGACTTCCACTTTGTGGTGAGTATTGTCGCTATCGCATTTTCTCTGCACCGGTGTGGTAGCCCCCCCTGCGCCCATGCCGCGTGCTGCTCCAACTGACCCCTGCGATGAATGCCTGCATGCCATGCCATGCTCGTGCTGCAGTACGCGTGCATAATGCGCTTTCCCAAAATACCGTGCTTACCGTTCGCCTTGTCTGCTCCGAATGCCATCGACCTGTGCCAAGAGAGGGGGGTGGTTTGGGTAGCACGTATCATCACCAAGATGTCGTTTAGCCTCATGCTTGCTACATGTGCTCCCTGCCCGTCATTCTTCGCAACACCCAGTCCAGCTCTCGGCGCACGTCCTACTGTGTAGTCGTTTGTAAGCGTAGCAGGGTCGGTAGGCACTCCTCCTCGTACTCCTAGCCCTCCTCCTTTCCAGCCTAGCCTCTCTAACAGCTCTCTGCCTCGCTGGAGTCGGTGCTCGATCGTGAACCTGTGGCGTTCTTCTTCGTCTCTTTCAACCTTGATCGCCTGCGCGTTGTAACTATCACCGCGCTCGTTGGCGCCTTTCATGTTGACCGTGGGATCAAGCAGAAGTAGAGTCGCCTCAACAGGGAGCCCCCACTCTGGCCATGCTCGACGCTTCTTGGCTTTCCTGCAATACCTCAGCATGTCTCTCCCGTCCTGCTCTGCTCGATGTCGGAGGTCGGTATCGATCGGGAGTGGGAGTCGCTCGGAGTGCCCGTGCTCGTGCTCGCGGAGTTGCTCCTCCAGATCCAGTACCTGTGCTGCCAGCCCCCCCTCGTGTGGTGACTTCGAGAGTTCCTGGGTCCACTGTTCAGCGTCCCAGTGCGTCCGAGGGGCGAAGAAGTACCTTTTCTTGGGGCCTCGTCCGTTCGCCTGGTACTCGATCCTCAGCCTGTGCATCTGCGCAAAGTCGCCACGTTCTGACGCCTCCCAGATTTCCTCGACGAGTCGTTCCTTGCGGGATTTCTCGTAGCCGTCTCGGATCCTCTTCAGCGTGGCCGTGACTTCTTTGAGGCTTTGTCGGGTGTTCTCAAGCTCCTCATCGTCGATATTCGGTCCCAGAGCGTGGCGTAGCTCTCGGCGTTGGCGCAGCAGTGTCATCCTGGTCTCCCTGAGTGCTTCCACGCACGGGTCAGGGGCCATCTTCTTTTTCCCGAATGTGTCGTGTAGTGCTGTGCGTACCGCATCTCCGTATCTCTGCCACGCTCGGTCTGGAGTGGGTTGCTCGAGGAGGTCTTGCCATTCCTGCTCCTCTACCTTCCTCAGCTCCTCCTCCACCTTCTCCTGCCATGCTTCCCTCCTTGTTCCCTTCCGTAGGCAGCTCATCAGCGCGTCCCTGTCCAGGTACTCGCGCTGGTGCCGCCTCCTGCCCGCCTGGTGTCGGATCCTCGGGTCGAGTACTACTCCTACTGGGAGGTGGTCTCTAGCTCCTCTGGACTTTATAAGTTGGAGGCGCTTCCCCGATGCGTGTAGCACCATACACCGTTGGACAAGGGTGGTGGCACCTGCTGGGAGGGCAATGTGGTCCACTTTACTGGTCCCCCCTCTTGGACCGAAATAGGTGGGCCCAGTGTCGTAGTTGGTGGTAATAATGCTGAGATCGCTGCTCTGGCACATCTTCCTGAACGCGGTACCGTTCTCGTTTTCAATAGTCTTTGCGTAGGTCCCTAAACAGCTGTTGATAGTTTTTTGTACAATTCCGTCTGTTGATCGGTGTAGTCCAAAGTCGCTGTTCACATCGCCTGCAATCACAATGAACGTCCTTGTACCCAATCTGTCAGTGGTGGTCTCCAACCAGTCCCCTATACGTGCTCCTATCTCATCGTACCGTTTGGTGTGCACAGGGGCATAATATACTGGGAAGATGGCCAGATCCATGGTACTCGTGGCTAGCTTCACTCCTGCGACTCTTCCTTGCAGCGACGTGGGTGGGGTGTAAATCTCACGCAAGCAATTTTGGTCCATTCGTCTGTGTACTAAAATGGCCAACCCACATGCTTTCGTGATGTATTTCCCCTTCCTGGCCCCAATTCGCAGACACCAGTGGTTGGGTAGCATTACCTTGCGCACAGCTTCGGGACCTGCCCATTCCTGTGTTCCACACAGTAGTATTATATCCCAATCCTTTAGTTCGTCGCTAATATCCACAAGACGTTCCACTGTGTTGGCGGCTAGTGGGTTGTACGTAAGAATGCGCATGCCATGTGTGTAATTGTGGTGCCCGCCTACGCCTCCCCCTCGCCTGGCCTGGTACTAGCTGGGGGGCGAGCCTGTGGAGGGTGAAGAAAAGGGTCGCTTTCGGTATCGCCGAGCGCGCTCCTGAACCCCTCGCGGCGGCTATGGGCGGAGGGAGGAAGAGGAGGAACGAGGAAGAAAAGGAGGAAGAACGGAGGAGGAGGGAGGAGGAAGAGGGACCCATTGCCTTCGGGTCATGAGTCGGGTCTCTGGCGGACTTCCAACACGATCCACGGGCGCCCCCCGGGACGTTGCCGGCGAAGCGCAGCTGTTGGACGGGCCCCGAGGCCGGAAAACTTTTTTGGAACCGACGAAAATCCACGGCGTGTAAAAAGGGACCCTTCGCCGGAGTGACCTTTGGCGCGGGCTCACAGGGGCCCCTTTGGCAATGGCCAGCACGCTTGGATTTGGGCCCTGTCGCGGCCCCCGAAAACCGCGCACCAAAGTTCACTTTCGCCCGGGGTTACTTTTCCGCGCAGCCGAGAAAAACGGTGGGAGCGTTGCTCAACGAATTTGCACAGGGGGCTCCAGACCCTGGATGATTCCTTCTCCGAGTGTGGCGGTGGTATCCATGGCCAAGGTGTTCCACAGGATTCCAGGCCCTGGATTCCTCATCCAGCGGTTCCTTGAGCCCGGCGTTTCGTCCTGCAGGCCGTTTTTGTTGACGTTCCCAGGGCTTGGGGGGGGCCCGTCGCGAGGGTCTCAGGCGGCGACGAGCCGCCGTCCAGAGATCTGGAGGAGCCCATTCCCCGGAAGGCACTGGGAGGGCAAGACAACCCTCCAGGAGATATGGAACAGACGGGGAATGCTGGGACTTTTGTGTATCGAAAAGTGTGTCCCTGGGACGCTTCCGGGCCCGAGAGCGCCCGAGGGCCTCGGTGCCGTTCGCTCGAAGGCGTTGCTTCCGGCGGCGTTCGGCGGCGCACGGCGGACGGGGAACCGGCAGGCAGCGCCTCGCTGGGCGCGGGCGGCGCCGGCGGCGCCGGAGGCGCCGGAGGCGCGCTCGGGCCAGACCTCGCGGTCGTCGCCCTGGTCGCTTCGAAAAAGAAAACTGGCATAAACACAAGAACTGTCGGAGCTCCGCGCGGATGTCGATGTGCGCTGGGGGCCCCCTTGCGGCGCCTCCGGCGCCACCCTTGGCGCTCCCCGCGCGCCAGGAAGGCGGGGCCAGCGCCGTTCCAAGACATCCGTACGAAGCTCCGAAAGGTGCTCTGCTCACGCCGTGTTCCTGCTTTTCTCGTGGGGGCCCGCCCTCGGGGCGGCGGCGAGGTTCGCGGGCGACGTCTCCCGGCGCCTGGCCCCTTCTTACTCCAGATGTCGTAAGAAAGGGAGGGGGGTCTCATTTCGGGGGGGGTCTCTTCCAGGCTCTCTTGGAGGGCCTGGGGGGTCTGGGGACGATGTTTTGGAGGGTTCTCCCACGGGGGGGGGTCCGACATGGCTTGTCTTGGAGGGTCCAGACCCCCTCCCTTTTATTACGAAATCTGGAGTAGCAGAAAGGGTATGTAGCCGAACAGGCTCGGTGACCGAAACGCACCCGAAGTTGTGACCGAAAACGCGGTGTGACCGAATCGCGGTGGCTTCGAACAAGAGAATCGGTCCCACTCGGGCGCGTTCGGAAACTTTCGGACGCTGGTTTCGGTGACACTCGGGTTGATGTTCGGGCACAGTTTGAGTCATTACACCCCCCTGATAGAGACGAGGTTGAGTGAGATTTCTCGCTCCTCATGCTCAGGCCTTCCCAGAATAGCCAAGCCGCTCGGAAAAGGAGGGAAACCCAGTGTATTAGCGATTCCAATTTGACCGCGATGATATCAACAATGGCCACGCCTTGGTGCGTAACGAGGTCTGGCCCGAGTTGCTCTAGCGATCTGTTCCCGCTCCTTCAGGCCGCCGACGCCGACGTCGCGCAGTCGACGTGCTACCCACGAGTGGGAAACAAATGCCGCCCTCAACATGTTCACACCATCCATCGCTTCCAGACTGCGCCCCCAATTACACCCACCCGACCCTCCCCCAACCCCTTGTCGACAGCCCGCCTAGGCCTCATTCCCAACGAAAGTGCTCGATACCCGCCGAGACGCCGCAGGAGTTCGACTCCGGAAGCATGCCCCCAGCGCGCTTCGCCGAAGCGTCGGATTCATTACCGACCCGGCGTATTCATCAGATCGTCTTGCGCGTTGGGTTTTCGGCAGCCAAACCCCCAACAGATGGAAATTGACTATCGCGTCGACGCTCTTATTGACGGACTGAGGTCCCACCAATAATGGAAAATTATGATTTCTCCGCGGCACCCGCCGCACAATATCGACGTCGATGACGACGACGACGACGACGTCGACGTCGACGTCGACGTCGACTACATGTGTATATCAGTGCGCGCGTGAAAGCTTCATTCCATGTTGGCTCTCAGCCCACCTCCGGCTATGGCACCGGACTGCTGCCACGGCCCGCCAACACTTTGCGCGCCAGAGCGTCGTCGGAGGCCATACAGTCAAGACGCTGAAATAACGAACAGCTTGGGTTCGGAAGTGTTCCTTAGCCGCGTGCACCAAGGCGCCTTTTGGGCCAAAAGGGGCTATGTTCTTTATTTGGCGTTCTTTGTGGTAGTAGCTTGACTGAAAATGCGCGTGGGTCCCCCAGAATTGGTGTCTGGCGCCCACCTCCGTGCCACCCAGATGGATGGCCCAGTGGCGGGCACTTCGGCAGCACGCGGGGGGCGGCAGGGGCAGCGGCGGAGGGGAGCGCCACTTTCGCGCGGGGCGGCGCGGGGATGCGGCAGGGGTTCAGCGCCCCCTCTCCTGCACGGGCCCGAGACTTGAAGAGGAGGGGGTGGCCTAGGGCATCCCGTGCGGCGGCCCTGGCCAGGCGGCGCAGGTGGAGCGTCGGCGGACGATCGACGAGGTCGTCGGTCGCCGACCGAGCTGGCCTCCACCAGCCCCCGGCTCCAGGCCAGTCCCCAGTGCAGGTCCAGAGCGCCGCCTTCGAAGATCCGTACCCAAGTGAGCAGTCAGGGCGTCATCGTCAATGTCGTCGTCGTTGTTGGGGTCCTCGTCGCCGTCGTCGTCGTCGAGGAGGGAGGCCCGTCGTTGTGTAGGACCGCCTGGGGCGACGGGAGGTCCCTGGCAGGGAGGCGGTCCAGTGGAGGCAGGAGGAGGTATAGGAAAGAGGCCTCCAGGAGCGCCCTCAAAAAGGAAGACAATGAAGCGCTGTCGTTCTGCATCCGTACGCATTTGCATACACATGTGTTTGTATAATTCTACACATTGTTTCGAGTTGTTCAAATAACGGCGGGGCGTGGGGGGGGGTAGGAGTGGGCTGTCCTTCGCGAGGCGTGGGGGGCTGGATCGCTTGAGGGACTGGGTCCAGTGGGCGTGTTGAGGGACTGGGTCCAGTGGGCGTGGAGGTGTCGGAACGGGCCGCTGGACGGGGTGGCCTTGGGGGGAGACTTCTGAATCAGTCTGGACTGCATGTGGGAGGAGGAGGGCGACCAGACGCAAGAGTGGCCCTTCGCCGGAGTGACCGTTGGTGCGCGCCCAATGGGGTCTCCCGATCGTCGAGAGCGAGGCGGCAGCAGCGGCGTGCGAACCTGGGTGTGGCCACCCCGCGTGCCCCGTGAAGCCGCGCACGAAACGCCACTCCTGCACAGGGTCACTCTTGCGTGCAGGCGAGAGGGGCACAGCCCAGGAGGGAGAAAATAAGACACAGACGCAATGAAACGTCGATTCCCAGGAGATCTGGGAAAAAACATGGGAAGTGAAGGGGAAGACGACCATCCAGAAGATGTGGAAACATGTGGGGCTTCCTGGGGTCTGTGCCCACTTATTATTGTGTCCCTGGACGACGACGACGACGACGACGACGACGACGACGACGACGACGACGACGACGATGACGACGACGACGACGACGACGACGACGACGACGACGAGAGGGTGCTCCCGGGCAGGGACGGGCCCTCTCGCCGACCGGGGCGGGCGGGCGGCAGAGGCGACGGCTCGACGGTCCTGTTCCCCGGCGGCGGCGGCGGCGGAGGCCGGGCGCCCGCTCCGTGCAGCCCGGGGGGGGCCCTCCCGCGGAGGAGCGGCCGCGGCAAGGATCGCGAGGGAGAGGGGGGGAGGGGGCAGCGAGGGAGGGGGAGGAGGGGGAGGAGGCAGGCTGGGGAGGAGGAGGAGGAGGAGGAGGAGGAGGAGGAGGAGGAGGAGGAGGAGGAGGAGGGAGGGGGCGACTCCTGGAGCGACCGCTCCAGGAGTCTCCTGGCTCTTGAGTTGATCCCCCCCCAGGGCCGACCGGCCCGGGGGGGGGGGGAGGGCGGCATGCAACGGACTCTTGCGCCTTCAGTCAGGCATTCAGGCAATCAGGAGGAGGAGGAGGAGGAGGAGGAGGAGGACGAGCGGAGCCATCATAAGGCTGGTCCGCCACCAGGTTGCCCGTCCAGCGACCTGATGGACCAGGCCCGCGGCTACGCTCGAGGAGGACTTGTTCCGACGCGTGGCCTTACGTCCTGGGGAGGGCGCCTCGGCCACCAGGGCAAACTCCTCATTGGACGCAGCGCTTCCCGCGATGTTGCCGTGGTGCCAGCGGCTTCTGGGGCTCGTTCAGAACACACGGCGCGGCGACATACATACAGACATACGTTATACAACCATACATACATGCATGCATGCATGCATACATACGTACATACGTACGCGCGTACATGCATACATGCTTGCATTATTGTATACATACGTGTATACGTACGTGCATACATGAATGCATGCATACAGGCAGACATGCATACGTACGTGCGCACGTTCATGCGTACATGTGTACACACATGCAAACAGACGATCCAATCTACATACATGCATGCATACATCCATGCATACACGCATACTTACCTGCACGCATACATACATACATACATACACACATGCATACATGCATACATTGTACATACATGTGTACAGACATACCTACACGCATGCATACGTGCATGTATACATACACATAAACATAAACGCACACATGCATACTCATGTTCATAGTTACGTGCGTACGTGCGTACGTACGTACGTTTGCTCGTTTGTGCATACCTACAAACGTACATACGTCCATACGTACACACGTACATACATACATGCACACATGCACACACATACATGCATCCATACATGCGTGCAATCATGTATGCATCCACACATCCATACATAAATGCATACATACATACATCCGCGCACGCGTACATACATACATACATGCACGCATGCATGCACACACACATACATACGTGCAGTCATGTACACATGCATACACGCACACATGCACACCACTTGACCCACCGACCCATCCACGAACCCACGACCTACCTACCTACCTACTTACCTACATACATACGTGAATGCATTCGTGTATGTGTACGTACATTCATTTACGTACACACATGCGTGCGTGCTTGCATGCGCGCATGCACGCATACGCACACGCATCCATATATATATATATATATATATATATAGTCACATTCACTTGCGTATGTACCGACTTACATATAGTGGCCCGTCGGCATATGCCGCCGCCGCGCCAAGGTTGTAAGTCAGAGGCCTCTTGGATGCCTGTGGGGATTTCTTGGGAGGCTTCCAGGGAGCCTCTTGGAGGCGGTTTGGGGGGCTCTCGGGAGCCGTTTCGGGGCCTCTTGGGGTCTGATTTTGGGCCTCTTGGGGGCCTGCTGGCAGTCTCGGAGGTCGTCTTTGGGCGGAGGCCTCGAAATGTTGGTTCGTGTTGCTCCTCTGGGCCTTCTCTTGGGCTCCTCTGGGCGCGGTGGATACTTTGGTCGCGAGCTCGCACGTGGCCTCTCCCAGCAGAAGGTCGCCGAGAGGCCCCAGGCTTCTCGGGAGCGGGAGGCGGCCGCCAGGCGACGCACCGAGGAGCTGCCGGGCGGCGCCGCAGCTCCGACAGGGCTGGCAGGCATCATGACGTGGGAGCGCATCTTGAGCGCTACCATCGCGGGCCCCTAGCACTCCGCGGGGTAGGTGGGTGCTCCCCGACGAGTAGTTGTCCTGGACCTGGGTCGAGGTCTGCTGGTGTTCCCGAACGCCGGCCCTCGGCACAGGCCGCTGTGCCACTGGGGAGGTGGCGCGGCATTCATCATCGGATTGTGGCCCTGGTCTCCGAAGCCTCATGAGACCCCCTCTGGCCAAAAAAAATGTGGGAGCGCATTTTGCTGCGGCTGCCAGCAACCCGAAAACGGAAGAGGCCCAGGCGGCTCCTGCGAACGATTCCCGTCGAAGAACAACAAAGCAGCACGAGCATAAGCTTACGACGGGCCGTGCGGATGTCTCGCGTCGGCGGTGTGCCCCCTTTGGCGGCGCATCCAGTGCCGCCCCTGGCGCGCTCCGCGCGCCCGGGAGGGAGCTCCAGCGCGGATCCAAGAAATCCGCGCGGACCCTCGAAAGTTGTGATGCTCGTGCTGTTACCTAACAGTTTTTGCTGATAGGTTTCTAGTGGGGTCAAAAGAGAGCATCTGGACTCCACTGGGGGGTCTGGGCGGGTGCCGGGGAGGAGGGCCGGGAACAGAGCCGGGTTCGTTTTAAGCAAACAGTCACACACGTCGTGCTCTTCGACCTCCCAGAATTCCACTCCCGGGCAACATTTTGAATAACCGGAGCCAACTGTAGGCCACTGCGTGATCTTCGACTTCCCAGAACTCCATTCCCGGGCCACATTTTGGATGCCCGGAGCCAACTGTAGGCCACTTCGTGCTCTTCGACTTCCCAGAACTCCACTCCCGGGCCACATTTTGAATGCCCGGAGCCAACTGTAGGCCACTTCGTGGTCTTCGAGTTCCCAGAACTCCATTCCTGGGGATGATTTTGAAAGCCCGGAGCCAACTGTAGGCCACTTCGTGGTCTTCGAGTTCCCAGAACTCCATTCCTGGGCATGATTTTGAATGCCCGGAGCCAACTGTAGGCCACTTCGTGTTCTTCGAGTTCCCAGAATTACACTCCCGGGCCACATTTTGAATGCTGAGACAGGCTGAGGCTGAGGCTGAAACAGGCTGAGGCTGAGGCAGGCTGAGGCTGAGGCCGATGCTGAAGGCAGACTGAGGCTGAGGCTGAAGCAGGCTGAGGCTGAGGCAGAGGCAGGCTGAGGCTGAGGCAGGCTGATGCTGAGGCAGGCTGAGGCTGAGGCAGGCTGATGCAGGCTGAGGCCAAGGCAGGCTGAGGCTGAGGCCAAAGCTGAAGGCAGACTGAGGCTTTGGCTGAAGCAGGCTGAGGCTGAGGCTACGGCTGAGGCTGAGGCAGGCTGATGCTGCGGCCGAGGCAGGCTGAGGCTGAGGCATGCTGAGGCTGAGGCCGAGGCTGAAGGCAGATTGAGGCTGAGGCTGAAGCAGACTGAGGTTGAGGCTGAGGCAAGCAGAGGCTGAGGCTGAAGCAGGCTGATGCTGAGGCAGGCTGAGGCTGAGGCTGAGGCTGAGGCTGATGCAGGCTGAGGCTGAGGCAGGCTGAGGCTGAGGCCGAGGCTGAAGGCAGACTGGGGCTGAGGCCGAAGCAGGCTGAGGCTGAGGCAGAGGCAGGCTGAGGCTGAGGCAGGCTGAGGCTGAGGCTGAGGCAGGCTGAGGCTGAGGCTGCGACTGCGACTGCCGTGGCCGCTGCGACTGTCATCGCGAATGCGACTACGACTGCGAGAACAGCAGAATTCTACAACTGGGTTTTCATTTGAATCTTAAGGGGAATGCTTTCAGATATGCTTCTACATATCGCTGTTAGGTTGCTTTGCCGGGAGAATTACCTAACAGCGTTTGCGGATAGGTTTCTAGTAGGGTCAAAAGAGAGCATCATGACTCCTCAGAGGGGGTCTGGGCGGGTGCCGGGGAGGAGAACCGGGAACAGAACCGGGAACAGAGCCGGGCTCGCTTTTCGCAAACAGTCACACACTTCGTGCTCTTCGACCTCCCAGAATTCCATTCCCGGGCCACATTCTGAATGCCTGGAGCCAACTGTAAGCCACTTCGTGCTCTTCGACTTCCCAGAACTCCATTCCCGGGCCACAGTTTGAATGCCCGGAGCCAAGTGTAGGCCACTTCGTGCTCTTCGACCCCCCAGAACTCCATTCCCGGGCCACATTTTGAATGCCCGGAGCCAACTGTAGGCCACTTCGTGATTTGAGTTTTTCCAGAATTCCATTCCCGGGCCACATTTTGAATGCCCGGAGCCAACCGTAGGCCATTTCGTCTTCTTCGAGTTCGCAAAACTCCATTCCCGGGCCACATTTTGGATGCCCGGAGCCAACTGTAGGCCACTTCGTGGTCTTCGAGTTCCCAGAACTCCATTCCTGGGCCACATTTTGAATGCCCGGAGCCAACTGTGGGCCACTTCGTTGTCTTCGAGTTCCAAAAACTTTACTCCTGGGCCACAGTTTTAATGCTGAGGCAGGCTGATGCTAGGGCCGAGGCAGGCTGAGGCTGAGGCATGCTGAGGCTGAAGCCGAGGCTGAAGGCAGACTGAGGCTGAGGCTGACGCAGACTGAGGCTGAGGCTCAGGTAGGCTGAGGCTGAGGCTGAAGCAGGCTGATGCTGAGGCAGGCTGAGGCTGAGGCTGAGGCTGATGCAGGCTGAGGCTTAGGCAGGCTGAGGCTGAGGCCCAGGCTGAAGGCAGACTGAGGCTGAGGCTGAAGCAGGCTGAGGCTGAGGCAGGCTGAGGCTGAGGCAGGCTGAGGCTGAGGCTGAGGCAGGCTGAGGCTGAGGCTTTGACTGCGACTGCCGTTTCCGCTGCGACTGTCATCGCGAATGCGACTACGACTGCGAGAACATCAGAATCTATAAAACTGGATTTTCATTACCTAACAGCTTTTGCTGATAGGTTTCTAGTGGGGTCAAAAGAGAGCAGCAGATGACTCCACAGGGGGGTCGGGGCGGCATCCGGGGAGCTGTGCCCGAACTCTTGTCCGAATGCGCTTTTCGCAAACAGTCACATACACTTCGTGCTCTTCGACCTCCCAGAACTCCACTCCCGGGCCACATTCTGAATGCCCGGAGCCAACTGTTGGCCACT